CTTCTAGAAAACAAATGTTGTTTTCTTATATTTACTTGTATGATAAAAGTACATTTCTTATATATATGGAACTATAGAGGTTGCTTTCTTAATTCCGATCAAGTTTGCGGTAGAGAATTTGAGGGAGTCTAAGATTTGGGGAGATATTATTGGTATAGGTGGGAAATCTATGAGGTTAAGGAATATGTTGGTGAAGGGGTTTAGGTGTGTGGTAGGAGATGGAAGTCAGGTGGGTTTTTGGAGACATATTTGGGTAGGAGATAGATCTTTAAGGGATTTATGTCCTAGGCTATTTCAGTTAGCTATTAATAAGGAATGGTAAGGGAGATGGGGAAATGGGGAAATGGGAGTGGGCAAGGTGGCGGTGGCATATGGAGTGGCAAAGGGGGAGGATGGGACGTGGATAGGATGAGGGAATGTTGTGGGTGGTGCTAGGTAGGATATAGATTAAGGAAGGCATGGAGGATTCCTAACAGTGGATGTATGATTTGGAAGGTAGATATATGGTGAAGAGAGCTTATGATTTTTTAGCTCCTATAGAGTGTTTGCTTGATATCCAGTTTTGCAAACTGATTTGGTGTAGGTTAGTGCCTTCCAAAAGTGGGTTTTTTTGGGTGGAGGTTGTGTCTTGTTCCAACAAGATGGAATTTGTAGAAAAGAGGGGTGGATTTGTAGGGGAACGGAATGAGGTGTGGTTTGTGTAATGAGGGGGTGGAGGACGTCAACCTACATGTAAAGAAGTTTGGTTAGTGTGGGCTAAGGTGCTTCATTGGTGGGGTTTGGAGGTGGTAGATTTTTTTATGGGTAGTTTGGGTATGTTGGTTGGAAAGGAGATGAGTGCACGGATTTTTTGTTGTTGTGTCTTGGTTTTTATGGTATTGGAGGAATGTTATTGTGTTTTGGAGTAATAGGGATTTTGGAGAGCAATTGTTGGATATGGTTCAAGCTAAGGGTGTGTTTGGGATTGTGGTTGGAGGTTTTTTTTTTCATGTAGTCATATAACATTTTTAGATATATGTATTTGGTAATTTTTTTTCAAATTGTTTGTTTTTTTTAATTGCAAAAAATCACAGTAAATTTACAGTAATTTTATATATAATGCTAAAAATTTCATTTTAAAACTCTTTCATTATGGTTTTTACGATATTTAATATAATTATAAAATTATCTATTAAAATTTAATTTTGTATTATTTAATTATATCATAATTTATAATATTTTAATAATGATAATTACTT